GTGGAACAAGGGAAGAGATTCTTGAACGAGGAAAATGATCCAATGATTTCAAAAGAATTGAACCATGAGCCGTATGAGGTGAAAATCTAATGTACGGTTTTGTAGAGTGACAATAAGGGTGACTTGGCTCAGGATGTTCTATTCTATACTGGCAGGAGAAGAGCCCAACTTGGTATTCTTAAAAATAAAAATAAAAATAAAAAATAGAGAAATTAGAACCAAGTTGATATAGATGGATGTCATTTACCTTTTGGTTATTATAACAAATATATAAATTCAATTATTAATTAATATGAGAAATTATTGAATGATACAGGGAAATAGTTTGGTGGAGGTACATACGATTATTTATGTTATGAAGCGTTTACAATTTTTTTTAAATTTATTTACTCTTTTTGGGTAATGATAAAGCCTTCACAAATTACAATTTAAAATAAAGTAAATATATGATACTCACAAATTAATTATGTGGTACTCACACATGTGGTAGGTCCCATGGCCACGTGAACTACTTTTTTTTTACATAACATCTTATCCGTTCACGGCTTGATGGGATCACATCGGAGACACCCCGATTGTTCGTCATTTACTGCCTCTTTCCTGGTAGGCCCCACTGTGGTCTGGCAGATGGAACCAAGATGGTCCAAACGATTGTGATTGATTGCTATTGCTTGGAGTTGGAGGGCATGGGAGTCATGCCACCATGTGTTGCTATAAAGTTGTAGGGGAGCCATTGAGCCACACACTAACCTAGACTTGTCTGCGTCACACTAGATCTTTCTCTCTCTCTCTCACACACACACTTCGTTGTCATTGTCAATTTCTCAATTGTTTGTGGGTTTGATTTGGGTCATGAGACTCATGACCCATGTAAGACAATAACTTGGTTATGGCCCAAATTGGGTGCTGGGCTTTTTCCAATTCTTGGCACAATGATGACTCAAGCACTTTAGGTCTATTTGTGGGCTCCAGGTTGCTTCACAACAGAAGGAAAAAAAAACTTACTTGTAACAAGATTAACACTGTTTTGCTATCCTCGACCAGTAACATAATGACACGTAGAAAAGTTATTCCATGTGTCATTGTGTTATTTTTCAGGGATAGAAAAAAGTGTTATACCCGTTACATAAGAGTCTCTTTCCAACCAAAGACGAAGGATCCAATGGAACAAAGGAACTTCTAGGTTCTTGAGGTTTGTCACCGTCCATATAATATGAAACACTTGTTAGATTGGCCTATAGTGTTACACGTTGAGTTGCAGGTACCGTCAAGTTAAACATACTATTGATTACGAAACTTGAATTATTGACAAAAACTTGTAATAAATGATATATTTTAATTGTGAGCTACATGCCACTCAAATTAAGGGGCGAGGCCAAGTGGGCAATTGATCCCAATAACTTTTTCTTTATTCTCAATGTATTAAATATGCAACTTTGATTCTATTGTTTGAGCTTTTCTTTAAATGGAGGGGCAACTGTTTTTTTAATTAATACGTGCGATATTTAGGGAGGGCTGAATCGAACACAAAACCTCAAATTCAATGGTAATTACTCTTAACCACTTGAATTACAAGCCCATTGCTACATGAGCAAATATTTAATGAAATGTATCAAAGAGTTTTTTGTTTTTAGGACTTTTTCTTCATAAAATGATATTCAAAATTACTATAATTAACAAGGATAGAGATTTGAACTCAAATGCAATGGGCGGACACACGCTCTTAGCCAACTAACCTAACCCACATATGTATGTGTAAGAGTTTTTATATTGCTCTCATAATGACAAATTTCTAACTCCACCACTATACTCAGTCAATCACGTGGCATGACATTTCTTACCCATTTTTTTTTTAATACAACTTCCTGCTCACATTCAATTGCTCACGTGCTAATCAAGTGACCAGATTTCATGGGAAAGAGTACAGGAATTTCTCATAAAAACGTCCTGCATCCCCACAAACCATACAACTTTTTTTCTTCTCCTAGGAATTTAAAGTTGCACATATATACCCGGAGGACATAACCAAAATGTGTCATTTAGGCAGAAAGGTCAATTAACTGCCAAGTTCCTCGCATTCAACTTCGTTCATTCCACAACAAACTTTAGGACACTTAACACACCACCCTCCATCTCTCTCTTTGATCCGAACAATTTTGAAAGGCCAACTAATCTTTCTGCCACCTCCTTTCTCCAAACCAAACTCAACTCAAATGGGAGGCAGTAGCATCAACAACAACAACAGCTACAAATTTGAAGACACAGAGAAGAAATCAGCACCTGCAGTGGCCCAAATGATAGGCTTCAGAGCCACCCTCACTTGGGTTTTTCTCACCGTTTCTGTTCTCTGTGTTCTCTACTCTTCCAACCACCTCCTCTATGATCGTCAAGACTGTCCAACCGCTTTAGATGCCTCCACTGCACGACATCTTGAAGGCCTCTCCAATGTCACTACCTCTGATATTAAACTTGTGGAAGATAAAGAAGAAGCAGCCTCACAAGTACCTGCACTTGCACAAAGGCCTCAGGGATTCGATACAGAGCTTAAACACATTATGTTTGGGATAGCAGCTTCGTCGAATTTGTGGGAAAAGAGGAAGGAGTACATCAAAGTGTGGTGGAGGCCTAAGGAGACTCGAGGGGTTGTTTGGTTGGACAAAAGAGTAAGGACTAGAAGAAACGAGGGACTGCCCGAGATTCGGATTTCAGGGGACACAAGAGGATTTAAGTACACAAATCGCCAAGGACAGAGATCTGCATTGAGGATTTCGAGGGTGGTTTCAGAGACATTGAGGCTCGGAGTGAAGGATGTGAGGTGGTTTGTAATGGGGGATGATGACACAGTTTTCATGGTGGAAAATGTGGTGAGAATTCTCAACAAGTATGACCACACACAATTTTATTATGTAGGAAGCTCATCGGAGAGTCACATTCAGAACATATTTTTCTCATATTCAATGGCATATGGTGGAGGGGGTTTTGCTATAAGTTATCCCTTGGCAGTGGAGCTGGAAAAGATGCAGGACCGGTGCATCCAACGCTATCCGGGGTTATATGGCAGTGATGACAGAATGCAGGCTTGTATGACTGAGCTAGGCGTGCCACTTACCAAGGAAACTGGATTTCATCAGGTAAGAGTAACTATTTTTGTTTTCACCAGTTTCGCTAAAGACGCCAAAACAGATCCCAAAATTCTGGATCCCAACAGATGTGGCAATGTTTCATCTGTTCATTTATGGACATACTTTGAACTTTTATTTCTGACTTAGAAAAGAGTCACATGTCATTTGGTAGCTTTTACATTTCTCAATATGGATGAATTGTAGGAAGAAAGTCCAAATGCAAACTGTGAATTGTGTGTGTGACCTTCATTTGCAATTCTAAAAATGCTGTGTATTGTGGTTGTGCAGTATGATGTGTATGGAGATCTGCTAGGCCTGCTGAGTGCCCATCCTGTGACTCCACTGGTTTCCCTTCACCACCTTGATGTAGTGGAACCAATATTCCCACACATGACCCGAGTGAAAGCACTTCACCATCTATTTCAAACCGTCAAGCTCGACTCAGCTAGTGTTATGCAGCAAACAATCTGTTACGACAAAGATCGATACTGGTCCATCTCCATTTCTTTGGGTTATGTAGTTCAAATCTTTAGGGGAATAATTTCTCCAAGAGAACTAGAGACGCCCTCGAGGACTTTTCTGAATTGGTATAGAAGAGCTGATTACACAGCATATGCATTCAACACTAGGCCTGTCTACAAGCATCCATGTCAGAAGGCCTTCATTTTCTATATGAGCTCAACCCGGTATGATGAAGGTAGAAAGAAAATTATTTCTTACTACACTCGTCAAAAATCTCCGGTTCCTCACTGCCGATGGAAAATGGCCTCACCAGAAGGAGTTGATACTGTTGTAGTCTTAAAAAGGCCAGATCCTCTTCGTTGGCAAAAGGTATGGCATTATTTGACCCATGATGTAAGAAAGTGTGTTTTTCAGGATTTGTTAACTAAAGATGCTTAGCATTAAAAAAAAAGTCCACATTTGTATAATTCCATCACTAACTGAAAGAATATTTCTTTTGCAGTCACCAAGGAGAGACTGTTGTAGAATTCTTCCGTCACAAAAGAACACGACCATGTACCTAATGATTGACTATTGCAGAGTAGGTGAGGTTAGTGAGTTGTAGCAGCAATAGGGAAACATTTCCTTGATCTATTTTTGTATCTGTTTATTTTTCCCACTTTCCCAGATTCTTGAGGGATATAGGAATAAGATCAATGGAAAGCTTTAAAGGAAAACAGAATGCAGAATGCACTTGTTAGCTTTAGTGTCAGCAGAAAGTCAACAGAAGAAAATTTGAATATTTTCAATCGTGAAATGAGCCAGCTACAGCTGGGAATTCATTGCTCTTACATTCTATGTAAATTTGATCCAAGCAAACCATTCACTATTGTTATCTCTGTAAATTCTAACTACAACAAGTTCCTTGCTGGTTCGTCGGCGCAAGGTCAAGCAAAACCAAGTATGAACGTCTCATAGTTTCCCCCATGAATCACAGTTCTAAACTTTTTACACCTACAAAGTTGGCTATTGGACTCTGTCTCAGTCCCTAATACAAGATTGACAGAAATAGATTCCTCAAAGCTATTTTATTATAGACAAAAGAAAATTGTCCTTCAGTCATTTTTTCTCAGCACTTGGAACTTCAGTTGCATTGTTCACTGTGAGATTCTGAGGAACCGAGGCTATTGGTGACATAGCAGCAGCTGCCAAGATTGCGATATGAATTCGAGTCTCGTTGAGAGGGAGTGGTATCTCAGTTTCACGTATAGCTGTAATTCTGCCGTCAATGCTCACCACTTTTACTGTTTCCACACAAAGACAACACAAAGAAACAAATTTAAGTAACAGATTAAGATCTATCTCTTGTGTAAGTCTCTTATGCAGTTATGCTAACGCTTATTGCTATTTTATTTGCCTTTCAAATCATATACAATAGTACAATTTCCAAAACAACCAAAGGAATAACTGAATTTTCCCTCCCACGAAACGAATTTCAGAGCAAACAGGAAATACCCATGTCCCCAAACAGCCTCCTACTTTCACAAACACAATGAAGACGAAATCCAAGCAAACAATTATCAAGAAACAGAAACCCATTAGAGAAAGAAAGAAGAAGAATGAAACCAAAGGCTTGAATCTTTGTCCAAATTGCTTTTCAAATAAACAAACAGTAAAATTTCTATACAGAACAGAAGTACCAATTTCCAAAAGAATCAAAGAAATCATAGATTATACCATTTTTTTGCAACAGCAATTTGCTTTCAGTGAACAAGAAATCAAAGCAAGAACAGAAACCCATCAAACAAATCAAGCAGAGAAAAACAAGAGATTGAAACTTTGTCCCAGTTTGTAATACCTGAGAGTCAAACACAGGAGTCACATGTAACAGTTTCCAAAAAAAAAAATCAAAGCAACAACTCAATCTTCACTCCCAAGGAACAAATTCCAGACCAAACAGGAAACTCCCATTTTCCCAAATGGTGATTTCTTTTCACAAGCAGAACGAACAAGAAATCAAATACATCAATTACCAAGAAACAGAAACCCATCAAAGAAATCAAACAGATAAACCCAAGAAACCCAAACTCTGTCCCAATTTGTAATACCTGAAACAGAGAACCACCAGAGCACAAAGAGGCAGAAGAGCACAATCACAGGAATGACATGGATCCACTTCTCCGCCGACACCGATCTCCAAGAACCCTCCTTCTTTCCGAAGCCAGAACGCGGGTCGTAGTGCGGAAGGCCATCTGGGTTTGTTCTCGGATTGTGGTGGTGGTGGTGCTTCAGCTGCGGTTGCCGTGGAGCTGCGCTGCCAATGGCCACAACAGTATGCTCTTGATCAGGCACTCGAGAAGAGTAAGACCAAAGTCTCTGCTGCATTTTTTCTTCTTTGGGTGGATTTGTGAGGTTGTGAATTGTGAATTTACGAGGGTTTTGATTTTGGGGTTCTTTGTTAGTTCGGATTCTTAACGACTTTGGGCGGGAATGTTTTTGCACCTGGAACGCACGTGAGTTGGACAGGTCGGTGACTTGTAATGTAAGGAACTAATATATGGACACCCATTAATTTGTTTTCTAAACACCCAATTCCATAAACAAATCTTTGTTGTTCACAAGTAGGTGTGGCAATTTTCGATACGACTTGGTACATGATTTGAAATATGTATGATTAGACTTTCGAGTCAACTCATCACTGACCCATTTATAAATGGGTGGGATTTGGGTCACTCCGCTAAAATATCTATATAACTCACCAACCTGCTAAAATACCTAGGTAACCCGCCAATTCATTTCTTTGTTTCTTCTTCATTTCCTTCATTTTTAAAATTACTTTTATTTCTCTTTCTCAATCTTCATACATACAGACATGCAAAATGTAATCACTATTTTATATAAAATAAAATAAAAATGCAATCACTATTTTATATAAAAGAAAATATAAAAAATGCAATCACTTGATTAAATTAACAAAATTTAGCTTCTTTTTTTTTTTTTTTATATTTGACCACTTAACGGGTCTACTAGACAACTCGAAACCCGCACGGAAAATTAACAAGTCAACCCATAAATGACATGTTTATTAAACGGGTCGGGTTTAGGTTGTGCATTCTTGACACGTATATAATCCTGACATGACACGACCCATTACCAGCTCTACACAAGCAAGCAATTATTAGGGTGTCCAGAGAGAATATTTGAGTGTCCATAGAATCACCTATCACTTCTCTTCATAGAAGCAAAACAAGCTGGAGAGCAATTATAATTAAACTACTGCTATTTTCACCCACATATCCTATTTTCCTCACCCACCATTTCAACAAAAATATTATTTTCATATTGCTTTTATTTTTTAATAACTTCTAAGGACTTGGGTTTAAAAAAAAATAACCCTACTCTACCTACCCAACCTTTCAACCCCATCTAAATCATCTAACCCCTACAATTGACCCTCTCCATCTCCTATACTTTAATATAGTTTATTTAATTATTAATGTGGTCTAGCCCAGTCCCCAGTTAAAAAAGACCTTAACTTGTAGACCAATGGTCTTAGGTTCGATCGAATTCCCATGGCACATTGGCAATGTGTGAGAAAACCCCCTCCTCCTTTCTAACTTTGGCAAAGAAAAAAAAATATTTAACCTAATATATTGGTAATGCATATTTGATTTCTCCTATTTATTGTGGTTTGAACAAGACAGCTTTAACAGATGAAGAGTTGTATGAGTTGAATAGCTCGCCGTAGCCTAGATTAGGGGGGAAAAAAGAATCCAGCTATTTTTCGTAGTTTCTAGTCCTCTAAGTCTTGCCCCTACAACTATTTTTTGTTTGTTTTGTCACTTCTTTTAACTCAAATGAAGCGAGAGTCAAACTCTTATTGTGAGTATGAGATGATTCTAATTTTGATTACGTCGTGGAAGATAAAAGGTTGGAAGTTGGTAAACATTAGGGCCAAGAAAATGACGTTGAAAATTATATATTTGCAAATATTATAAGTACAACTCAAAGGATTGTAGTCTAGAGTTGTTAACCAGACAAGTCGCATTGATGAAAGCATAAAACATGATGGCCGTTTTGATTATACTAATTGGACCAGATTTTATGGTTAAATGGTGGTCCAAAGCAATTAAGCAAAAATGCTTTCTATTCTAGAACTTTTAGAAAACCAACCCATTCTGCACGGAGATCATTATACCCTTTTTGCACGGATGGAGATGTTGGTCGAAAACGAGTGGAGGTACGTGCGTTTACATGGGGACTTAGATACGGGTATAATGGTACTTCTCATCATTATCGACAATCGACGATATATGATTACACGTGTCATTCAACCTCACGAGGAAAAATGAGTCGTTAATAAGAGTTCATGCACGACTGTCACAAATGCCAACTTTTTCAGAGCGCGTCGTGATGAAATTTGACTGGCAATAATAGATGAACTTCTTGAATGAATGCCATGGTTTTGTGGGAACTTTGGAACCAACGACTTTAAAGTTTTCTTGAGGCTCACAACGTCTTTTTTCCCCAAAATAGGCTCAATTTACCACATCCCAATTGCCAAAGTAAATAGTACTTACCAACAAAAAAAATAAATGAGGAGAAGTGCCAAAATCGCTACCCGAAATAAAAGACGATAACATCTTTTTTCCCTATTACTTTAATATGAAGTGTAAGTCACTTTGAAATGACCCATACAAAAAAAGTACATTCCATGGCTCCATCAGCACCTCTAGATGTGCAAGTGCCAGGAAATGTTGAGATGCCAAAGAAACTCAAAGCTCTTGGCAGCCTAAGTTTTTACAGTGGTGTCGTTTTGGGGATGCTTGTAAGCATCTGGCTAAAAGAGGATTGCAGACCAGCTCTCCAATCACCATGCAAATACCAACTTCAAAACTTACCACCCTCTCAACCCCCAGCTACACATTAACAAATCATTCACCAGAACCTCCAAGTTCCCTCTTTGCATCGAGTCAACGAGAAGGCCGGGCTCGTCAAGTTTTCACATTGCATCCAACAATGATATTCCAAATTACCTGTATGGAGACATGAGGAAGTAGATATGTCTACTTCTTTTTTACTATAAAGCTTACCCATGGGAACATCCGTCATGATGCAGTTATTGTGCTAGAGAAAAGCAAAACGAAACGACGCAAACATCCAGGGAAAAAAAGTAATGGAGACGGGAGGAAGTAGATATGTCCACTTCCTTTTTTTATCATAAAGCTTACCCACGAGAACATCCATCATGATGCACTTATTGTGCTAGAGAAAAGCAAAACGAAACAACGCAAACATCTAGGGAAAAAAAAGTAAGAGCAAAAGAAAAAAAAAAAAAGGGACACGGTAGGCAAAAGAATGGAACTATTATAGAAATTAATAAGGCTAACTAATAAAATGGAAAAAAGTTCCTACAATGAAGCATTTTTACATATAAGAACGTCAGCTCTCATGTACACTGGAGAAAGAAAAGGAAGAAAGAAAAAAAAAGCAGAAACTCTCTGTATGTGAATATTGAGAATGGCAGTAGTACCTGTTATCTTCTATGACGCAAAAATTGATAACTAGGCACATCATCTACAAGACCACAAAATGGTATTCGCTGCTTTATTCTTAATTTTGTCCTCCAGCTCAGTCTCTCTCTGGCCCGTTACCTCCAATCTGCCTTATATCATCATCTCTCCTCCCTATAGGAGAAGATGAACCCCTTCTCGAGCTTTGAACTGGATGTATTTGGGGGTCATATTTCTGGGAAGCAAGGTAATTCAACGCTGTAACTATATCTGTTATGACAGGCCGCATATTGGGCTGCTCCTGGACGCACATTGCAGCAATAGCAAGGGCTTGGTATAGTCCCCTGACAGGATACTGACCTTGGAGCAACGGATCCACCATTTGTGAAAATCTCTTCCGGTCTCTAAACAGCGGTCTTGCCTGAAAACAATATAACGGTTAGCGATTTATAAGCCCAATCTGAACAGGGGTCTTGCCTAAAAACAATATAACAGTTAAAGTGAAAGTAAAAGTTCATTTGTGCTTTTACATAGGGCAGACAACTACATTAGCTAGTTTCTTGTACATGGAGGTTATTCAAAATTCGAAATGCTCAACAATTCAAGCTACTATGGATATCAAAATATCAAAACATAACTACAGATGACAATAGAGACTAAAATCAACCGCAATACAAAAAATCTTCTAACTTCCAAGGATAGTCTCTTTCAAGCGTCAACTGACTGCTGCCCCTATTTATTTCCCTTTATCTCTAAAGAAAATAAGTTTCAACAAACTGCTATTCTAATTGGTAGCACTTATATAAATCGCATCCATCCCAGTGGGCAGCAGACATAGTTAAATTTTACCAAGAAAAGTGATTAAGAAAAGCAAAATCCAGAAAATCAGCATTTCCAATAATTATTGCTTGCCGCACAATGTTACAAAAGGACAGCAGCTACCGCGAAACTAATTCAACCTATGCAGTACCACAGAAGGGAGTGGAATAGTAGATATCAGAGGAGAGTGCAATGCTAGAGTTATCTTACCCATGCTACCAGGTTCTGCTCTTTGACAGGTTTTGTATTATCAATAGCTTTCCTTCCTGTGATAAGCTCCAAAAGAACAACCCCAAAGCTATAAACATCTGACTTAAAAGTCAGCTGACCTGTCATTGCATAATCAGGTGCACAATACCCATACGTGCCCATAACTCTAGTAGAAACATGAGTCTTATCTCCACTGGGACCTACTTTGGCCAAGCCAAAATCAGATAACTTTGGATGATACCCCTCACCAAGCAAAATGTTTGAGCATTTCAGATCACGATATATAACAGGGGGCTGCATTTTCTCATGCAGATACTCTAAACCCCTTGCCGCACCAGCTGCTATCTTCATTCTTGTATTCCAGTCGAGCGCCTTCCTGCTGGGTGGAAGATCTGTAAAGGAAAAAAAAAAAAAAGGGTACTATTCAAATATAACTCATGGCCACCTCAAAATAAGATGCATATTTCACAGAAAGTGAAAAAGTAATCGATAATACAACAAGGATTGGTTTTACGAGTGAGTCAGTTGCATACCATGCAAATGGTTTTCCAAGGATCCTAATGGCATATATTCATAAACCAATAGCCTCTGATCTCCCTCAGCACAAAACCCAATCAATTTGACGAGATTAAGGTGGTCAGCCAGACTTAGCGTCAATACTTCGACAACAAACTCTCTAATCCCTTGGCACCCATTACGATCAAGCTGCTTGATAGCAACAACCTACACCAACAACAATAGCAAAATTGGGTCACCCCTCAAGCTTACAATTCATATATTAATTGACAAAACACATTTGATACAAAAGTATAAAAAGGACACGCATGATATCCCAATAGCATTCGGTTCAATGTACAAGTTCATAACTCAATAGAAAAAAACTATTTGTCAATTTGGGTTTGATAGGTATCACAAGAGGTTCGATTTAATGGTAGAGCTTAAACTCAGCTGCACAAACCTGGTTAATTTTCTCTAAGTGACCCTTGTAAACTTTTCCGAATCCTCCTTCACCTAGAAAGCAATCAGACCTGAAATTGCCAGTTGCTGCTGCAAGTTCATCAAATGTAAATGTCTGTGCTCGCTTGCCGTTGGTTTTTCCATCCTTAGAAACCTCCTCCTTTATATTCCACTCCTTTGCATCCAACGATAACTGGTCATCCTTAGAGGCCTCCTCCTTTTTTACACCCAATTCCTTTTTAACATTCCCATTTGAATTCACTTCTGAAATATCAAAATGACCAAATACAAACATGCACACAGACAAGTAAGTAAGTGAGATTGAGAAGGCCAAGCATAAAGACAAAATTCCGCACATGGTAACCAAAATCCAAAAAATCATATTGATTCATTCTCTCAAAAATGAGATTGAAAAAACCGGAGTCATTAAAATTTAAATGCAAACAAAAATACAAAATGACAAAGTTCAACACCATGGAACTTTGGATTATGGATTGGACCTTCCCAACCAACCACGCAAACAAACAAACAAACAAAATGAATGAGACGCGGTGTTAATGAACAGTCACAAGAACCAAAACAAATAACTTTGGCACTAGATGAGAAATTAACAATTTAACAAACCCAGATGAATATAAAAGTACGAAAATTTTATAAATGTGATTAAAGCCCATTTTCACAACATAAAAATTTAGCCATCTTTCTTTCTCCATCCATTACAAAATTTCAAAAATTGACAGTGGTTTCATGGCAAAGTCAAAGAGGGCACTGATCTTTTGAATCGATTTAAGGTGCAAAGCAGGACCAATCAAAACCAAATTCAGAAACTTTAACCCAAAATTTTAAATTAAAAAAATTGATGACCAAATAATTCAGAGAGGGAAGAACATAAACCCAGGTACGGCAAAAGAGTACCACCCATAAAAATTAAACAAAAAGGGAAAAAATAATAGCCAAAAAAACAAAACCCACAATCTAAAAAATAAAATCACCCCAAGAAAATATCTGAATATGAAAATCAGATATGATCATCTAACAGATGGGTTTTATCTCAATGACCCAAAAATTAAATAAAAATTAATTTTGGAAAAGAATTACCTTGATGATTGGGTTTGTTGCCGTTGATGTTGGTATTATTATTCTTTGATTCTTTGGTTGATTTCTTAGTGCAGCGAAAGCAGCTCATCTTACACCTTTTCCTTTTCTCTCTCCTTTTCTTGTTTGCTCACTCCCTTTTATCTCTCGACTGCACACAAAAACAGAGTACCAAAAGCATAGAAACGAACCAATCAAACAAGAAAACAGAGCAAAGCAGAATGAGAAAGGAGAGCGTTGCAAAACTCAGACACAAAGTGACAGACTCTTGTACTTTCTTGGTGATTTTTTTCTCTAATATATATGGGAGGGTTCCCATCTGTGATGCAAATCAACCGCAAAATTTAATTCAATTTCAACCAATTAAAAGCAGCCACGTTGCACACACGAGGGTCTTTTTTCTTTCCTTTTTTTGGGTCAGAGAGGGTCGTATTACAACTTGCCCTTTTCTAACACATTTACTAACCAAATCCCTTATTTGCGGTCAACTTACCTTTAAAACGATTTCTCATATATTTACTTATCACATATATCGTTACTCCACTTTGATACTATGATCATAATTTTATTGATATGATGTGTATCAATATGTTTCGATTTAAACTTTTTTTGATAGCCGAGATTACTCTCACTCCCATTTTCCTATTCTATTCTTCATAATTAAAATTCTATTATCTTCGAAGTGGTCATATATCACCGAGAATAACATTACATGTTTAGCAAATACAGTTAGACCCATTGACAATAATTAATGGTAATTTCAAAGAAGCAAAAATTCAAGACAAGAATATTCTTAGCGCTCCTCAATGTTTAGTAAGCTAATTCATCTTAGTTAAAATACAAGAATATTCTTAGCGCTCCTCGATGTTTAGTAAGCTAATTCATCTTAGTTAAAAGTGGAGAGTATAATTAAGGGTAAGAGTGTTACCATTGTATTCCTCAGTTAGTTTCCTCTATCGCTTCATTCAGGAATCAACAATTTGGGAAACATATGTGGGAATTCCTTTCCCAACTCCAATCATGCCTAGTAATGTATTTATTACTAAAATAGCCCTAATAGAAATTAAAATCACCACAAAGTGTGAAAAATTAAAATGAAGTCTAACCAAGTGAAAAACAATCTTAATAGTGCTCGCTAATTTCAAAACTCTACAATTACGGGGGCCTTAATCTGCTGCATGTGTTTTGACGACACATCCGAGCCGAGCCCGTCGCTCCGGCATATTTTGCCTGTTTGGTCAACTTTGCATATATGGTACAGTATTTTTGTTTTGTCTTTTACGTGTTCCGATCATGCAAACGCTCTGATGACGTGGCGCTCACCCATTGGCATACGCGATTTAGTTGCGAGCTGGTCCGCAACCTATCTTTGTCCTTTTCTTG